CATCATAGGTTTCTTCCTAACTAATTTTGGTTTATTAGTGCTGAAGAAGTGCTCAGGAGGGGGCGTTACATCAACGTCGGATATCTGCTCTTCAAGAGAATTTGTGTCATTAGTTGATGAATGCAGTCGTTTGACACCTGGTGCTGGTAATAATGTAGTTGCTTGAAGATTCTCAGAATTTGTATTAACTATTTTAGTTGTTGAAAATGTTGATATTAAATAATTATTTGATTGCGGGAATGAGGTTGTTTGTGTATTTGTGTTAGGACATTTGTTTGCTGTATGTCTAGGCTGTTACAAAGAAAACACTCCATACGATCTGTAGACAAGAATATTCTATATGCGATATTCTCATGCTGTATTAAAAGTGACGTTTGAAGCTCGTAGTTTTCAGTAGCTGGAATAACGTAGACTTGACGTCTGAAACTCATAATATGAGAGTACTCATCACCTGGAATATCTGCTTTTATTAATGATATAGCCATTTGAAGTCCGAAATCTTTAAGTGCCTGTTCTATGACCTATTAGGTATGAATGGACAGACATTTGATATTAATATTCTCTTAGCTGGAAAAATTAGTCTTCTTATACTCAGCTCAACGGAATTTACAGTTACAGTGGAATGCTCTAATATAAGCTGGACTACAAGTTCGGTTCTTGATAAGTAGATACATACTCGGTTGTTTGATATTTTCGATGCAAAACAAACATTTTTGGGATTAACGATGTTTACAACTGCTTTAACGTAGTCCAATAACAGAAGATTGGGACGAGAATGTAGGATAATTGCTTGTTCTTTTTTTTTTTTGGAAAAATACATTCTTCGTCATTCGTTAACATTATGGATTTAGTTACGTTTAAAGTAGTTTGTTCAATTTTGTTGCCCTTGTAGTCAAAAGCAACAGGTTTAGGATTATCCATAATATTGTTGTAATTATTGGCCAGTATCAAGTTAACAACAGCACACCATATCGTATTACTGGTTGCCTATAAAATTGGCGTAAAGCGAAAGGCGATTTGAAAGATATTAGTGTTTCACTAATGAGCACAAAAAAGTTCAGAAAAAAACAAAATAAACAGTTCAATGCAACAATTATAGTCAGATATTAAATAATACCTTTACTTTTACTTGTAGGCAAGAGTTAACAGCAGTTTCCAATAAACTACACATTTATGATTAGATGTCCAAAATTTAGTAAATTTACAATCCAAATATTCACAATAAAACTTAAATAACGACTCTTAACATACAGAACGACCTTTACACGTTCAGACACCGGAATCAGTCCGAAATAAACTTTAAAATGCGGAGAGTATTTAAATATACACACTTTGACAGTTATTTGACAATCCTCAAATTAGTATTAAAATTTACAATTAAAACCATACTACATAACTGGCGTAAGGATGTTAATCGGATTCTCATCAGTATATTGTCAAAAATATATTACTTACAGTTTCAAGTAGAACATAAATTAAAATAATTTAATCTGTCTGACCTTTTGATTTGTAAGATCATGTAACACTTATCCCTTTTGTTAAAGTTATCAAATTACTAAAGGAAATGGCCAAATTAAATACCGACCTACCGCTCCCACTTTGATAAATTTCACGATGTTTATCACAGTCATAAAATTAGTAAACTCAAATATCTCAACGAGATTCTGCGAACCCTAATCATCACATATTGATAACGTAGAGCATCATTTTACGATACACAAAACAGCCTATAAAAATTTAACACAAATAATTTCATATTTTACGTAGTAGGTATACAGGGTGTTTCAAAAAAAGGTAACCATGTCTCTAGGGTAGGTAAAAAACAAAAAAATAATTGGGGTTTGCTTAGTAAAAAATTTTTGTAAGGCCATCCGTTTTCAAGATACAGGGCGTTGAAGAAAAAAAATGTTACGCATTTTTTACGATTTTGCCAAAACTACTGGCAACATTGTAATGAAATTTTATACGAATATGTTTTGGAAGCTGATACATAACATGAATTTGTTTTTATATCTGAGTCTCATAGAGGGCTCTAGTTACACGGATCGTACTAAGTATTAGCCAATACCTATAACTTTTTTAAGAGTATAATTATTATAGGTTATTCCATGAATATCCGACTGTTTTGGTTTACTGCGACAACGAATATTTGACTGTGCAAGTAGAAGTATGAAGGTAAATTGGTCCAATCATTATTCGAATAAAAGTCTACTAGTATGACATTTAAACTAAAATTCTACGAAGCCAGATCAGCTATGATGTCATTAAATTGACGTTGAATTCTTTCTTCAAATTCTTTAAATTGTTATTTGTGAGCATAACTATTTGTGGGCCTTACCTTGTCTGTTTAAACTTTTAAAACTTTTATACTTTTTATTTAACTTACTCTTTTAAATAAAACCACTGACATGTAATATTGGCACAATTATTGTAATTTACAACATCTGCTGTGTTTATCGTTATTAGACAACACCCTAATATGGGTTTTTTATCATTTCAGCATTTGTTTAACTTTGTATCGATACCTGAGGATGCTTTGCATATTGTAGAAAGCGAAACCGGTCGTCTGATAGTTAAATTAAATTGATTGTGAATAAGTCTTCTTTATTATTTCTTTACCTATTTGAAATGGACTCACACAAGCAACACATTCATGATTGGAAATAATTTTTTAGTTCATATTAAATTGTAAATTAACCCCCTCTGTGGCTCAGTGGTAAGAGCGCCTACCTTTAAACCTAAAGGTCGTTTTAAAGAGTTCGAATCCCATCTGGGTGGAGAAATTTTTGTTTATTAAAAATTAATGAATGAAAATAATTTCTATCCTTGTGCGATCGATACTCACCAGAGGGACCGCAGACGGATACAATTAGCGTCTCTTAGCAAAGACAATGACGTCGACTTTGCTAAGTATCAAGACAATTACTCTACACACACACACACACACACACACACACACACACACACACACACACACACACACACACTACACTAGGTACCTGACTGTACCATGCCAATGATCATAGTTGTCGAGGCATTAACCCAATAAAAAAAAAATTGTAAATTACCAGCAGTTTAGCTAGACTACGCCTTGAAAGATTTTTAATAAAAATAAAGCGAATGTTATCTGGACCTACAACTGAATTTTTGCAACAGTAAAATGTGTCTGAAAATTCTTGTAATGTAAACGGCATATTTAGAGAAATTTGATCGGATTTTCTGCTATCAGATAAACTGGAGTTTAGATTAGTAGACATAGGAAGCTGCCAATTTTAAGTAAGTCTATTTGTTGCTTTTTTATAAGTTTTACCCAAGATGTTAACAATTTGTTGACTACAAGTGACTGTTCTGTTTTAAGTAAGTATGGCAGACATTTCTTAATTTTTGAAGGTTTCTTGTCGGAAATTATTGACATATATTCAGATTCAAATTAAAGTTTAGAGCCTAAATTAATTCCCAGATCACGAATTTTAGTAACCCAGCAACAAAAATGTATAATATAATTATATTCCATTGAGTCTCCCTATCGTACAAAAGAAACATCATGGCACTTTGATGCGTTCTAGGCCACGGCATTCAACACACACCACTCACTCAACCGATCGAGATCGTGTTGAATATTAACACAATCTTCTGTATTATTGATAATTAGGTAGAACTTTTGGTCATTTGCAAAAAGAAGAGGTGAACTGTGCTGGAAGCAGTGGTGTATATCATTGATGAATATGTTAAATAACAGGGATCCAAAATGAGAACTCTGGGGTACTCCTGAATAAACTTTAATCTCACTGAAAACAAAATCACTGATACGCAACATCTGAACTCGGTCAATTAAGTATGTTCTTAAACATCTAAGAAGTTACCTATCAACACCCATTTTTTTAAGTGTAACTATTAAAATATTATAATTCACCCGATCAAAGGCCTTGAAGAATTCAGTGTATAGTGCATGTACCCTAAAGCCACTCTTTATGGCCTTCCTCAAAAAGTTTACAAACACTAATATGTTACATTCAGTTGATCTGCTATTGCAAAATCCAAATTTTTGATCTACTAGCTGTTTTTCAAATGAAGCTTTAAGATAGTCACATAAAAAAATTCAAATATCTTTGGTATTGCACTAATTATACTAATGGGTCGGTATCCATCAGGAAGAAATCCATCAGGACCAGAACTCTTATTCACATCCAGTTCTGATAATTTTAAATAAATGTCAGATATAGTTATGTTAAAACCAGTGAAATTAGTAAGACCAAGTGAAGGTGAATCACTTTATGTCACATATTTGAGTGAAATAGACTGTAGAAATATTATGCTAATATTTTTTGCTTATTTTAACTAATTAGAGACACATTTTTCCACTTTAAATAATTAAATTTCAATATTTAACAATCAAAATTTTAATTTAATATGAGTTCGAAATATTGTTGACCTATTTTTTGTTTCGTGTCTAATATTTTCTAATGTTTTTCTAGTTGTATTGTTACATTATGTTATTCTCTTATATTCCCTGACGTAGATCAGCAATGTTTTGTTGCTTGGTTTGGTATATCTTAAACCTTTAGGTAACTTTACTAGAAAAAACTAATGGGATACAATTTTGGTGGCCATTATATGGTTCCACGTTGTCCAGGAAAAACTGTATTAAGATATTTTCAAAACTTGCATGCGTAATAATGCGCAGCTCGGTCTTGTTGGAAAATGATGTGCAAAAATCTGGCGGATGATATCTGATTATCATTGAAGCTCTGTCTGTCATTGTAGCGGTGATACTGATTGTCTTTTGGAAAGAGTGGGCAGGGTGTATGCAAGGACAAAATATAGATGAGGAAGAGAGGGAGAGAGAGACAGAGAGAGAGAAAGAGAGAGTGTAGCTCTAGTTTATCAATAGATTCTTGTAAGCAATTTATACTGTAATTAGATTTTTATCTTTTGCGTAAATACAGGTTAGTTTTGGTACTTTTTAGTCTATTCTGTAAGGTGAATTAGAATGTACTTACCCGCTTTTAGCATCAATCTCGTCAGCTGAAAATAGTTGTTCGGGATTGTTCCTGGCAGCCATATCAAAATCAATATCCCTGAAGTAGCGAAAATCAATAGGACTTTGTACTAATTTTGAAAGAAACCATCGTGTGTTCATAGCTCTGGGAAGTTCACTGGGCTCTTGTGGAATAGGATTTCCACTTCTTTTTCCATGAGCTAGAATAAAAAAAAAACAATTTTAAACTTTTCATTAAAACTTTTGTTTGCAGTAGTAGAGTAAACAAATTTTGGGAAACTGTTGTGGTGAAATGTACTGTTGGAGGCGCAATGCATATTTCTTATATATTTCACATTATGAGATAGTTTCTAATACCTTCTTATCTCTCTTGATCAAATGAAGTATTGGATAGTGCCTTTAAAATTTGAGTGAGAGTTGAGATAAGGTGAGTCAGTAGCTGGTACGGGTGGCAGTAAAAGTGACCAAACTTGTCAAGTTGACATTTTTGTTCGTTGTATTGGTGTTGAAAAAATTTTGTGTTGTAGTATATCTATTTTTGGACCCAATTCTTGTGAAGCAGAAACTCAAACTGAACTTAATATACCACAAAGTGAATTAAAAATAAATAGCAAAAAGAAATTTTATAAAAAATGTGGTAAACCACCAAAAGTTTTTGTAGATACAGCAGTTGGATCTAATTTTCCATACAATGAATTTAATGGTGATCACATGCATTTCGAAGGGACTGTTACAAGTGATGAACAATTTAGAGATCTTGCTAGAGTATCTTTTTGATACTTATTCATAGATTAACAGTATCCAGGATATTTTATTCGACTTTATTTAATCTAGCTGAAGTAACTGCCACATTAGTGTTTTGACCAGATAAATCAAGTGTCCAATTAACAATGCCAGATTGCATCAAACCAAAATATAGCAAGACTCGTGTCATTATTGATTTTACTGAATTTAAAATTGATTTACCTTCTGCAGTAGATGATCGTGTGGATTTTTAATCTCATAACAAAAAACAGTTTACTCCCAAAGTATTAATTAGTATTACTTCCAGCGCGGCTTCATCTGTTTTAAGTCACCAGCAGCAAGAGGTAGAAAAAATGATTCTCAAATATGACTTGAATCAGGTTTAGTTGATTTACTAGAAATAGAGAATGTAGTATTGGCATATAAAGCATGCCCAGATATCCAAACTATGATTGACAGTCAAGGCAAAAAAAATTTTTCTTGTTATGCCATCTTTTTTGGAGAGGAAAAAAGAATTTTCTCAAGAAGACATTGAGCAAACTATGATACGGATACATGTGGAAAGAATATATATTTGACAAAGTTGATGACATAATGGCTATATGCTGTGTATAAGTAAATCTACAGCCTCCAATATTTGCTGACAAAAGTGAAAACAATGATTGATAATTAGTAGAAATTATTTTCTTTATGGCATTCTCATTATATGTATATATATATATATATATATATATATATATATATATATATATATATATATATATATATATATATTATATATATATATATATATATATATATATATATATATATATTAAATTGGCCAAATATATCGCCTAGGAGGACAAATTCGTTAAACTTCCCGTGCTCGAATCGGTCTCACTAAAGTGTTATGATCATTTCGGCCTATCCCAGCCATCGTCAGACACTTGAGCTGATACAAATTCAAACACGGAAAGTAGAACGAATGTCTCCTAAAGCTTCACCACTGCAGTGGTTTGCGAGCAGAGGTGCCACTTGCTTTGGCGGCCGTGAACGAAAACGATATAATCACATCGTTTTCTACCTCTGGGCTATGCGAAATGTGTAAAAAATAAATCTTTTAGCAAAAAGCTGCTATCGCTTTGTTATATTAAATTGGTCAAATATATGGCCTAGGAGGACAAATTAGTTAAACTTCCCGTACTCGAATCGGTATCACTAAAGTGTTATGATCATTTCGGCCTATCCCAGCCATCGTCAGACACTTGGGCTGATACAAATTCAAACACGGAAAGTAGAACGAATGTCTCCCAAAGCTTCACCACTGCAGTGGTTTGCGAGCAGAGGCGCCACCTGCTTTGGCGGCCGTGAACGAAAACGATATAATCACATCCTTTTCTACCTCTGGGCTATGCGAAATGTGTAAAAAATAAATCTTTTAGCAAAAAGCTGCTATCGCTTTGTTGTATTAAATTGGCCAAATATATGGCCTAAGAGGACTTCTTCTTCTTCTTCGTCTAGCCATTCACGTCCACATCTGAACATAAGCCTCTTCAAGTCTTCCTTTCCATTGGTTTTTTATTGTACGCTACTTGTAGCCAATTTTTCCCGGCAGTCCTTTTCAGATCATCTGTCCATCTCATAGGAGGTCTGCCTCTGGGTCTTTTGTGTTGTAATGGTCTCCAGGTTAAAATTGATCTGTGCCATTTGTTTAGATCGCTCCTAGCTACATGTCCAGCGTATTCCCATTTCAGCTTTAATGCTTTTTGCACCACATCGGTGACTTTGGTTTTCTGTCTTATCCATGTGTTTGTTTTCTTGTCCTTAAGTGATATACCTAGCAGTGCTTTTTCCATCGCGTGTTAAGTGACTCTAAGTATATTCATATTCTTTTTTGTGATTGTCCATGTTTGTGCCGCATAAGTTAATATCAGAATAATGCATGCATCAAAAACTTTAGATCTAAGATGTAATTGAATTTGTTGATTTCTGAGTATATAGTTCAGTTTACCGAATGCTGCCCAAGCTAACTTTCTTCTTCTTTTTATTTCTTCAGTCTGAATTTTCCTATTTAGGATTATTTTTTGTCCCAAGTATATATATTCTTCAACTTTTTCTATATCTTTATCGTTTATTATTGTCACGGTGTCTTCGGAGTGCATGACTTTTGTTTTGTTAAAATTCATTTTCAGTCCTATTTTAGAAGATTCGGTATGAAGTTCTACAAGCATGGTTTGCATTTCTTGTAGGTCAGTAGCTATCAAGATTATGTCATCTGCAAATCGTAGATTACTGAGGTAGCGGCCATTGATGTTTTTTTCCTTATATTTTCAATTTAGGTTTTTAAAAACGTCCTCCAAAACTAAGGTGAACAGTTTGGGTGATAAAGTATCTACCTGTTTGACTCCCCTGTTTAATGGTACAGGGTTCGTGTGTTCATTTTCATTTAGGTAGTATGTAGCTGTAGCTTGGTTCATAGTTTCTTTTATTAAGTTAATATATCTGCTGTCTATTCTACAATTTTGCATTGCGTTTATTACGGCCGTGTGTTCTATGGTATCGAAAGCTTTTTCGTAGTCTACAAATGCAAGGAAAACTGGAAACTTGTATTCGTTACATTTTTCAATTAATATTTTTGTGGTTAACAGGTGATCGGAAGTTGAATAGCCTTTTCTAAAACCTGCCTGTTCATATGGTTGGTATTCGTCTAATTTCCTTGTTACTCGAGTAGTTATGACTTTGGTGAGTATTTTAAACAGGTGTGACAGTAGGCTGATGGATCTGTAGTTTTCCAATTTTCGACTATCACCTTTCTTGTGCAATAAGATTACTTTGGAGTTGTTCCAGCTCTTAGGGACTTTGCCCTGATGTAAACAACTGTCCACAAGCTTAGTTACAATTGCAATTAGTTCCTTAACTCCTTCTAATATCATATCTGTGCCCTAAGAGGACAAATTCGTTAAACTTCCCGTGCTCGAATCGGTATCACTAAAGTGTTATGATCATTTCTGCCTATCCCAGCCATCGTCAGACACTTGGGCTGATACAAATTCAAACACGGAAAGTAGAACGAATGTCTCCTAAAGCTTCACCACTGCAGTGGTTTGCGAGCAGAGGCGCCACCTGCGTTGGCGGCCGTGAACGAAAACGATATAATCACATCGTTTTCTACCTCTGGGCTATGCAAAATGTGTAAAGAATAAATCTTTTAGCAAAAAGCTGCTATCGCTTTGTTGTATTAAATTGGCCAAATATATGGCCTAAGAGGACAAATTCGTTAAACTTCCCGTACTCGAATCGGTATCACTAAAGTGTTATGATCATTTCGGCCTATCCCAGCCATCGACAGACACTTGGGCTGATACAAATTCAAACACGGAAAGTAGAACGAATGTCTCCTAAAGCTTCACCCCTGCAGTGGTTTGCGAGCAGAGGCGCCACCTGCTTTGGCGGCCGTGAACGAAAACCATATAATTACATCGTTTTCTACCTTTGGGCTATGCGAAATGTGTAAAGAATAAATCTTTTAGCAAAAAGCTGCTATCGTTTTGTTGTAATAAATTGGCCAAATATATGGCCTAGGAGGACAAATTAGTTAAACTTCCCGTGCTCGAATCGGTATCACTAAAGTGTTATGATCATTTCGGCCTATCCCAGCCATCGTCAGACACTTGAGCTGATACAAATTCAAACACGGAAAGTAGAACGAATGTCTCCTAAAGCTTCACTACTGCAGTGGTTTGCGAGCTGAGGCGCCATCTGCTTTGCCGGCCGTGAACGAAAACGATATAATCACATCGTTTGTTACATCTGGGCTATATCGTTATATCTGGGTTATAATAATATTTAAAGATTTCTATTAATGTTAACTTAAAGAAATACACAATAATATGTTTTATTTAAGTCGTATAAATGCATTATTAAGCGTTTTTATGAAGAACATTTGTTCGGAACACACTGTAACTGTAATCTAACGAAGGTGATATATTAGCATAAATTGGTAACACTTATTTGACAGTTGTGGTGTTGACACGGTATTAAAAAAATGTTGTTTTTGTTTAAGTATTCAATTTTACATCTTTATACAAGCGGCCCAAATTGTTTTTAACAAGATTATTTTTAACTCTTGTTTTGTTTCTATTTATTTACATTAAATATTAATTTGTTTTGTTGTATAATCCACTTTTCCAATAATTATGTGACCTATTTGATTTCAAATGGATTCAGGATTTTTTTATACTTTGGCAACTATGTCAACTTCAATCTCTGTCAATGATAATGACGTGCAACGGTAAGTAAATTATATGGACTGTAGGCGTGTCACGGTCTTCAACTTAATCACTAGTTTAATTACATATCTTTATATAAAACACCATATATAAAAATTATCACTATTTTTGTTGGATTATGGACGGAGTGATTGTTTCCAATTTCTTTGCATTTTTTGTCGGGATAACCTAGTTTTTTCCTTATT